AGAAAAGAGAGAAACGACTTGAAAACACTATCGCTTAACGGCTTTCTCAAACTGCTTGGTGATGTCTGTTATAATAATATCGATAGAGTATAAAATATGCTTTTAAATGTTAAAAACAAATCGTCAAATCTAATTACTTAACTAGTTCAAATGGCAACTTCTTCGACTCTTTTCAWGACTATGCATTTTGCTCAAGCAGGGGCGTAGCATCCTTTACGCATTACGCACGTGCGTAGTTGAGAATTTCATAAACGTTCTAAATTTACTCTTTCTGTAATAAATAAAGTGCATTGGATATCTTTAAAATGGCCCATTGGGTTTAATTTGCTTCGACGAGACAAAAAAACAAACAATATTATTAATACGGTTCTCAATTGAGTGAGAAACGAAAACGTTTTGAGACTTATGTTTTGTCGTGAAAACTACAATGTCGTTAGGAGCAACCTAAATGTTTCTTTTTGGCTTGTATACCTTGTTCATTAATTCCAAGCGTGCCCGAACGGTTGTCTCTGATTGGTTGAGCGGAAATTTCTTTTAATTTGGCTCGTGCTAACTGTATGTCATTTTATCAAATACATAGTACAAAGAAATTGAAAAAGAAATTAGTGTGGAAATATCTTAGGAGCTTGCTGACCTGTCAAGTGCGTACTTGCCAAAATGCCCTCGCTAAGCCCCTGGCTCAAGATATAAGCCGTGTGGAAACGATACCCATCGAGCGGTAGATATAACACAGTTACACACTTATTGTTCCAGCAAGCCTATGTTTTTATTATTTGCTATGAGCCCAGCGCTATCTTCGTGATTTCTTTCTGGATGCCTGAAAGCGTTGTCTATGCCTCTTTTAGATTAGCAATAAAGTTGAACCTTAATTTAAGTTACCAAACATTGTTTTAGAAATAACAAGTGCAAAGTTTGTGTGGGCGGAAAAACTGGCAAGCCCGTAAACGCAGGAATGGATGCCTGTGGTGAATGTGATGGTGATAACTCCACGTGTACAGACTGTAATGGGATTGTGAAAGGCCCAAACAGGTAAGTTATACAATAACGATAAATGACTTCTTTTTTTAAACTGCGAATTAACTGTGGATCCACAGATGGGGAGGGGGTTAACCTATATAGTGGCAAGGAAGAGATGATCACAACAAACAAACTCAACTCATATATGCGGTTCAGTCGAGAATCGACCCCGCGTCCATCTCGTACCCAGAGCCTGCGTTTCTTGTGGCCTGCGGCGATGAACGAGGGCTCTGGCATAATCCATATTTTGGCGCATGCGCAATTTTCGGAAATTTAGATACAACCGATCAAAATAATTAAAGCCAAAATTAAATCAAAATCAAAGTCAAAATCATAGTAACAATTGAAGATCGGRGAAAAAAAGTATTTTTAATTTTTGGCAAGTCTTTGAACGCGTGCGCTGTTATACCGGAAGTCCAAGAAATCCTGGTCTCAAAATGGATTATGCCAGAGCCCTCGTTTTTCGCCGCCGGCCAGAAGAAATGCTCTGGGTACGAGATTGAACCCGCGTTAACAAGCTTGAACTACGTATGTCACCCATAGCTTTGACCCCTCAACTATTTTTACTTTTGTTTCATGTGATTGATCATGGTTGTCAAATTTTAGGAGAGACGGTTGCAATAACTGTCTTGACCCTAAATCTTCTGACTTTAACAAGTGCAAGCAGATCACGGGCGCAAGTTCAGTGACGTTTCCAGCCTCGGGACCATCTTACGTCACTGTAAAGGCTACAGGAATAAAGACAGCCAAGAATGCCAGCTGTGTGCTACAGAAGGGTGCAGAGAGGTAAGTCTGGAGGAGGAGTGCGTAAATAAAAATAGCATGGGTGCTTGAATTAATATTAGGATTAATATGATTAATTTATTAATAAATCACATCTTTAATAATTAATAATAATTTTATGATTATTAATTATAATGATTAATATTAATAGTTTTATAATAACTGACTAATTGTTTGACTGATTGATTGATTGATTGATTGATTGATTGATTGATTTTATTCTTTTTTTTTTATATAGAATTGCCTTGCAGAAAACTACAGTTGGCATGGCCACAAAAACTGGTGTTTCATCTTTTTCTCTCCAATTCAAAGCCGTCCCTCCTGGTTCATACTCACTCAAGTGTAAATTCGATTCGTCTTCCACTGAATTGGAGTTTACCAAACAAAAGTAAGAGGAGTAACGTTAAAAATTTTGATAATATAGTGAAGCAACCAACAAAGTCCAAGGCACCATCCGCAGTACTGACTGATTGAATTAGAATCAGAATTAATTTATAAATTCATAACTAAACTCATCTAAAACAATAATCACAATTGATAAATAATAATAATAATAATAACAAAAATGAAAATAACAATATGATAATAATGATATATTAATAGCTAAAGAACTTATCGTCATTAAAATATATTAAAAAGTCTTCAGTTTTAATGGATGAACTTCACTCAACATATACTGGATTTCTCGTCCAATGAAAAGATTTTTTAACTAATACCCTTTTTTTCTATATCATCCTAAACAGGCTGCTTTTCTTTGATGATAAAACTATAGTTGTTAGCAGTGCCATACCTAGCTTTGCCCTAAGGAACGAGGCAACGAATGTAACCATCCTTGGCTCTGGATTTACAAACAGGACAACTGCCAAATGTGTCCTTGAAACCAAGAAATCCCAACGTTCCCTGCTCCTTCCAATAAAAGCAAGCTTCATAAGCAGTTCAAGGGTGATGTGCCACATTCCAGCAAGATTGGAGACGGGCGAATTCCAACTTGGCGTAGCCTTCTCAGGCACCCTTGTTGGAATGACCTCCTTTGCCATAAAATCCATTGCACCTCGTACGGTAAAATGTCAGCTGTCCAAAAACCTAAGAGACCTAACAATTAAGTTGGATCAACCTGCGGCGCTTGCAACTCGATCAACGAAATGCCAAGATCTATTCTCACTTTCCAGCGCAAAAATGGTAGGAAAAAGAGCTAGATGCCAATTTAAAAATAAGCTTCTTCAAGTGAATCTTCCAACTGATGCTCCTTTTATCGAATCTGGTAAAATGTTGACCCTGGTGTATCGCAAGATCAAGAACGCTGTTGGCAAACTGACGCATTACAAAGATGGCATTACTGAAATGAACGTTAGTTGCAGTAGACCCTCCAAACCCAAACCGGTCACTGTCGAAATACGAGGCGCTAAATCTGCAGGTATTTAAACTTTTGCTCGTCAATGGATACGGAATGTACTTAATATATCTATCTACCTCCCCCCGTAAACCCCGCCCCT